TGTATCTTTAGATGTTTTAGTATCATATCAGGATGATATACTTCCAAAGTTCGAGAAGTTAAACCACATATATTATAAGAGCATACAAATGAAAATTAATGAAGAAATTTTTATGTTTGTAATCCAAACATGTATTTCAAATATGTCCTCAACTCATACTTCTGATTTGGAAATCCGCTAAACCGCTGTGATTTCTCAAACTCAATAGTTCAAATGATAGGACCATTATTAGTTTTTACAACTTAATCCAGGATGATCTTCTAAGAAACAATCATATGATTCCAAATTTAGAATACTCATATTTCCACTCATAGTCATTTCAACGTCATATTGAATATCTTAATATTCACCAAAACCTTTATATTGTTTTGATGAATTTCAATCAATATTATTCGATTTAATGGAAATATCTTCTTGGAGTATAGAAGTATCATGTGATTATAAATTTTCAATAAATCAGTGCATATTTCTATTGAAATCATAAACCATTATGTTCTAACTGATTCTCATATTCTTTGGATCTATCTGCTTTCATTCTCCTCTTGACAATCCATTTATAGCCTAGTCGTTTACATACTAGAGGTATATCCACCAGCTCTCATGTGTGATTTGGCAAGATAGAATCATTTCACTTTTAATTGAATCTTTTGATTGAGATATGTTAAAGAAAGTGAATTCGTTTTTGAAAGTTTGAGGCTCTCTTTCAACCATATACATCATCTACAAATGATTTATGAGGAATAGGACTAAAACTCAAAGATTAATAAGTTATTATGAAGGAAAACCCAACCTAGTTGACTGGAGATCCCAAGATCTAGGTTCAATAGGATAACCTACTTGCATATAAAATTTATGAATCATTGTGGGGGTTATCCCCAACCCATTCCTAAAACAAGCAGTGATGCAGGTTAAGCTTATAGCCGAAGATGATAAGATGGAAATCATCATGGATTAACTTCTAATGATTATGATGGAATCAACTATGTGAGAGAGAATTGGGGGTCTCTTCAAAGAGAATTGTATGGTCACATTCCTAAGAGCTCTTATCGAACCATGCAAGTGTCCATGACCATAATGAACACATCAATGAGAACTTAATTGGGCCAGGGAGAATCATGTGAGACACATATTGATTGTTTACACAAACGATAGAATAGTTCAAGGACATCGAGTCTACTGCTCAGCTAGTAAAATAAATATGTTTCTTAAGGGAAGGTTCAAAGGGTAAAACATACCTATCCTATGCATGATTCAATTGTTGGATTTTATCTCGGTAGCTTGAAAATGTTTGATTATTTTTTTATTCATGTGGGGGATTTTTGGAAAATTGGTGTTAACCAATTTATACAAATGGGGTTTTCCTTTTTTTTAAACCATCCAAAATGGATTTATATGAATGAGAAATTAATCCTTAAAGTAAGGGTCTTGGAAGAAGTAAATAAAAGAGTTTAATGGTTGGGAGAAAGAAAAGAAAAGTTCAGGGACCTTTCTTGTAAACATTTCTTTCTTTTGTAAATAATTAATATTACAATTTAATTACATATTAACACACATTAATATTGTGATTAATAGAGGTGTTTAAATGGGAGGTTATAGAATGTGTAGTATAAATAGTACTACACAACCATTTGAGGACATCAATAAGAATACAAAAATTGTATTATTCTCCATTTCATATTCTTAGTTTTCTTGCTGGATTAAAAGTAAAATGCAGGCCTATTCAGGGTTCGGGTGGTCTAGAAGAACCACTTCAAATTGTTGTATCCTGGGAAACAAACACTCTGTAGCGGGCGAATTTGTTTTAAGGACAATGTGTTAAACACATGCCTCTGTCTTTTCTATTTTCTTGTTTGTTTTCTTACATTTATATAATATTATTCATACAATAATTATCCTAGATTTTTGAGACATGAGTAGTCATTCCGAATAGTCAAAGCCAGAGATTGTTGCCATTATATGTAGTCATTCCGAATAGTAAATGTCATAAATTCCTGACAACCTTTTAGACCGACTATTTCAGACCATTATCCCAGAGCCACGTTTTAGACTAGCTATTTCGGAGACAGGTTCCGGACCAGCTATTTCGGAGCCACATTCTGGAATTGGTATTTCGGACCATAATTTTGGAACAATAATTATCCAAGATTCCTGACATATGTGTAGTCATTTTCCAACAGAAAAAGTCTTGGATTCCTGATAGTATGTGTAGTCATTCTGAACAGTAAATGTCATAGATTCCTAACAGTGTTTCAGACCCTTATTCCGGAACCCTATTCTGGATTCGGAGCCACTTTCTGGAATGGCTATTTCAGACACTTGCTTTTCGACTTAAAAATGTACCTAGCATGAATCCTCAATGTTGAAACAAAATTGGAATGAGTTCATTTCATGATGGTGTTTGGCATTTTGAAGAAGAAGATTGTTATGTTTGTTCAGGTAATAACCCATTTTTGGAAGGTCCAGATTTCCTACTCTCGGATAAAATGCCTGATGACGTTTTCCAAGCTACGAAGGTTGCTGAAGAAGCAAACAAAAGGGGCTCTAAAAGAAGTTGCACACTAAATCGACGTGTAGACGATTCAGCAGAACAAGTAAATGAAAAAGAAAAATGGGTTGCATAAGTATTGAAAGAAGTGAAACAAGCTAAGAAGTGGATTGAAAATGTAAATAAGGAGATCAATAAGGTGCATGCAGAACGGGACTGTCTAACAAATGTTGTTAGAATTAGAGGGGATTTTATTAACTGGGAACAAAATATGTATCCCTTACAATTTCCTAATTTGTGAAAACCAATTTAAGTATGTAATAGGTTAAATAATGATTTTTGGAATAATATTAATGAAAAAGGATAATTGTCATTTTAGATAATCATACTGCTCATTTTACAAAATTTAGTTTAAAAAGACATTACAATATTCAAATTTAAAATTAGATTACATTTGTCGCCGATAATTTGGAACTTGCATCTGATGCAAACTACCTGTGTCTAAATGATTTTCAAACAATTCCATGTAGGTCTCAATTAGTTTGAAACCATTATCAGTCAATTCAACTCAATTTTCTATTGTTGGAGTTGTCCTACATGTTTCTTCGATGATGTCCATTGTGTTCACAAATTGTCGTATATCTTCAAACATGGTAATAAGGAGCATTTTCATGTTATACGATGCTATTTTTCTCCGGTCCTCAACCGGTGAAGGCGTAATGAGATTTCCAGTATTACCATTCATTGTTTAGCACATTGATAATCACGAATCATTTCTAATGCATCCATATCAACAAGATGTTGTTTCTCATCTTCAAGACGTGATATAACATACTCTATAGGCAACTCATCATGATCGTTCGAGTGACTGGATGTTGGAGACTAAAAATAGAATGTACCTAAATTATATTAATATACTATTTAAAAACCAATGTGCATAAAATATTTAATAATAAAAAAAATACTTCCATAAACATATCCATAACAAAAAAAAACCATAATTACAACTAGTCTATTATAACAGGTTTGTCTGCACTTGCTCCGATGTCATCTTTTGGAATCCTATCTACTTTCAATTTAAGTTTTAACATCTTTTCTAATTTCTTTATTAATTTTATGGGTGCCTTTGTTGGTTTATTTGTTTTTATCTTATTTTGAAACTCAGCATCATCGTTTTCTATCTGTAAAAAAAAGTTTCCAATAACATTTTTAATATATTACAGTAAAAATAAATTAGAATTATAAAATTATTGTTTTTTTATAATGGGTTTAGGTCATTTTTGGTCACTTAACTTTTGATTTTGTGCTTATTTGGTCACTTAACTAATTTTAAGTTTTGAAAGGTCATCAAACTTTTGACTTTGTGCTCATTTAGTCACTTAACTTTTGGTTTGGTCACATTTAGTCACTTAACTTTTAGATTTGTGCTCATTTGGTCACCTAACCTTTAATTTGCTCATTTATTCACCAAACTTTTAAAAAAATTTAAAAGTTTAGTGATCAAATGAGCACAATTTTAAAAGTTAGGTTACTAAATGTGACCAAACCAAAAGTTAAGTGACTAAATGAGCACAAAAGCAAAAGTTTGATGACCTTTTAAAACTTAAAAAGAGTTAAGTGACCAAATGAGCACAATACCAAAAGTTAAGTGATCAAAAATGACCTAAACCCTTTTTTTTATTTTACCTTTATCGGGCGCAATTCGGAAAGCTCCTTTAAATGGAATACAACTTCGTCATCCTTAAACCCCATTTTTTTAACAACATGTACGCTAACTTGTCTGTAGACTAACATGAGTTATTAAACAATACTTAGAAAAAAAATAGTATATTATAAGTATTCTGGATCATCATTTCGGAATAGATCATCAGGTTCTAGTCCTACATTATCATTTCGGAACACCAACAATAATATCTAATTGAGGACTAAAACAACCGATTAGAAACACATTACAAAGTACTTACATGATATTCATACACGTACAATGACAAAAAGATATATAAAAAAAGATCTACAGTTGTTCCTTGTGTTCCGGACCATTCCAAAATACATAATTTCTTTCAGAAAATCAAATGTAAATGTCGCTTCTGTGTAGAACTTACTTGGTTTGATGATTCCATACTGAAAATTTGGTCCAAAATACGGGTGGATGGTGCTTCCACTACTAGAAAAACAGCCTTTTACGATGCTCATTGCGTGTTGTAAAAGGCTCAGATGACGCGCAAATGCGCGTCAAGGAAGGCCCTGTCATAAATAGAGACGGCGCGTGTTTGCGCGTCGTCTATACACGACGCGTATTTACGACGTGCTTTTAGGACACGCAATGCGTATCATTAAAGCCGCTGTCAAGAAAGGCCATGTCATAAATGAAGATGACACACATTTTTGCGTATCGTAATTTTATTTTTTTTAGAAAAAAATTATTTATAGATTTACTAATTTTCAAATTAAATTTGCATTTTACGTGTCATAATAACAAATAAAATACCATATACAAAAAAAATACAATCCATTACACAAAAGTTAATGTCATACAAATAATCATTCCAATAATAGACAAATGTAATACATCAAATGTTAAAGAGATGAAAGTTATCAACAAATAATAGTTGAACTACAAGAACTTGTTACCCACCTTCACAACACCCCAAGATACTTTGCTTGACACTATGCACATCAACAAGACCTACAAATTTGAATAATGCTACCATTAGATTTAAACTTTTGGCTAGCACTCCAACAGCCCTACTGAAAAATGATCTGATAAAGGTGGCTAATACCAACAACAGAAGCTTCAATAATCACCCTGAAATAAATATATACAAACTACTTACAGTTAAATAATGAAGGGGATCAGATATGTATGGATGCTTGGGGGAATAAATCTCAGGTACAGATGCAACCAAATGTCCGACAACAATGTTGAAATCAAACTTAGCTAATTCCAATATCTTATGGGCTTGATCAGGAGCACCAACTAACAAAGTTGCCATGAATCCAACAAGTTGAGCAGAAAAATCGGAGTTTGACTCCCTTAAAAGAAGAAAGAGCTTCCAACAGTAGTGATTCCCTGTAATACAATAAATTGGATGGTGATCACAAATTAGGAAAATTGATAACTATCAACTGGATTCAAGTAAGCCAATTAAAACAAGAATTCAATCTAGTTATTTTTCCTACTTGTAATGTTCATCAAGTTTTAACTAGTTATCATTTTTTTTTCAAATACTAATAATCATCATCTAATTCTGGGGTCAAAATTACCCTACAAAATGGAAGAAATAATTAATAAAAGAAGACCTTAATGAATAGTTAAATTACTTGCATATTCCTCTAGAGTTAGCATCTTGTTTCCAAAGCTCCTACCCACAACTTATGCACTCTCCCCGACCATTCTAATCACCTGCTCAACAAGTATAAACATTGCACATAAGACAAGGGTATTTTTGGCACATGAAAAATAAAGCTATCCATACATGACTAAATCACACCAAACGTAAAAATACAAATCCCAACGATGTTCCACTTCCATGAGATAATGCAATTTTGAGACGCGACGCCTAAAGAGTGGTTCAAGGCGAAAAGAGGGAACACCAGTTTGCCATCTTTTAACCTCATACATCTCATTCCATGCTTGAACTATTTCATCAATTTTATAACCAAGACCTAAAAAACACTCATACAAAACATTCAACTTTGGACTAAATTAAGTAAAAATCAGAAAAGCACAAGGAATTTTTTTGTTATTAAAGGAGGAGCATGGAAGGATGGATATTAGATATTAGATATTAGATATTAGTATTACTTACAGCTGTGAAGCTTTAGAGTACATTACTTGAAAATATGTCCTCCTCGATCCAAGGCGTATGGTACCACCCATATGAGTTTTTGAACCCTATTATCATTCATATTGTTATTATAAATGATGACTGAATAGTTTGTTATATTATGTTAAAAAAAAATAAGGCGATAAACCTTGGGGATAAATATGACACAAGGATTTTTAGTATTTGGATCGAATTCGGTGCTATTTGCATTTTCAAGACCAAGAACAGATCTGGCGTACTCTATGACAACAATTTGCATTCCTAAACAAATGCTAAGGTAGGTGATATTGTTCTCACGTGCATATTTCGCTGCAATGATTTTCCCTTCTACACCTCTATCACCAACCCCCCCCCCCCCCCCCCCCGGAACAAGCACACCATCCACCGACTACATCATCACACCAAATCACACTCTAAAACCGTTAACAATGCCATTATTATAATTTTTTTGTAAAATTTGTTTTTCTATCCAGATGATATTTGATATAACTGTCCTAGATGTATCCTTTTATTTATCTGTGCAGTCCACTTTGATTTTTTTATTTTTTCTCTTTCTCTTTCAACCAGTTTTCTTCTTATGTACTTTGAAAAAGGATACCCGATCATAACAGTCAAAATAACTAGGAAAGTAAAATGAAAGTAGAATTCTATATGCTTTGAACCCTTATCTAACTAACATACACACACACATACACACACAAACCTTCAAAGAATTCCAAGCAGCTCTGTGAACATCAGGATTCTATATAAAAACAAAAAAGATCCAGCATGACCAATAAGTTTCAAGGACATGCATTGCATGATAAAGAAAAAGAAAAAGAGAGATGGAGTGGATAGTAACTTCTATGGTAGTTGCTTCTTCAATTGATGAGTAATTTCCTTCGGCAAGCAACAAAAGCATGCAACAGAGCCCAAATGAGTAATCAGAACTTAGTATGCTACCAGTAGACGCATCAGTTTCAGAGGGAGAGATTACTAGACGTGATTGTGTGGATATTAGTGACTGCAAACATATGATAGCCACAAGGGTATAAAGGTCAAAACACAAAGGTTTTGTAGAATTATAATGTAGAAAGTTTGTTTAAAAATATAAACTTACTAATAGTTCATTCATGTCACTAGATGCCCTAAGTCTTGCCCTTTGTTCAAGTGAACAAACCAAGAGAACAAAACCAAGAAGCATGACACTAACAAAAGCAGCCCTTAATGAGAAATTCATTTTCAAAACACTAACAAAAGCAATATAGTATATGAGTAAATCAGCAAGAATAATAGGAGTATTTTATCAAGGAGGGGTATTTTGGGTATTACGTTAATTAGTTTGCAGCAACTTGCAACAATGCTTATAAGAGGGTAGAGGGTACCGTATGTGCGTATCATGATTTCTCTTTTGTGAAATTTGTACATTGTTTCTTTTGGAGAGTGGCTTCGTGAATTTTCCAACTAGTACATCAATGGCTTCTTTGTGGATGCAAAAAGCTCCTCTAGTGCACGCTTCTTTAATCCAACAAAATGTATAACATCAAACCTACATACATAGACACCACAATCTAAACCTATTAGATTATTTCAACACAAATCACATACATGCATGATATAAGAATTGGACTAGTGAAAACAAGCTTACTTTGTGGAGGCAAAAATGATATCCTCAATATCCAGACTTGATTTGTACGGTAAAATATGTTTTCAAAAAAGATAGATAGTTAAGAAATAGTGTACGTGATAGTGAACAAACCATCGGGCGGTGGGCGGCGTGGAAGTAGGGAAGTAGTGTAGCAGCAGATGAACAGATGGGTGAACAAGCGAAACTGGGGACCGCCGTTTTAGGTTTCGTGGTGTTTACGAACATTCTGAGACCTGATAATAGCGATTTATCTCCATTCTCCAGCACAACTCACACAAATTGAGAAGGCGTTAGATTTTTACCATTAACGATGAATCGAAGAGGGAGTACCAAAAGTTATATACCACGAATCGAATAGAATGAAACACGAATCGAAGAGACTGAAACCAGAGGATGATGAAGATCCCAACAACCGATTATGAGATGTTCTGCGCCAAAATGAAGATCCAAGAAACTGATTTCGCTTCGATGGATTAAGAATTAATGACTACTTCGTCTTCCACTTATAGAGTATTTAAGGGTTTTATGGATATTCAGTTGAATAGACGGCCGTGAATGGGGAGGAGATGGAAGCCGGAAGAAAATCAAACGATTGTGGGTTTAGAAACTTAAGTGAGGGTGATGTTGGTTGAGTCACTGATGATGTTAGAGGGAGGCGGCGTAAAGAATCATTCTTAGGGATTAAGGAAAAAGAGGGAAATAAAAATGGGGGAGAAAAAGGAAGGCGGTCATTTCTAATTTTTAGGATTTCCATCTCCTGCTCGTTGCTACTAAAGGAGGCGCGCGGTCACCTTAAAAAATTATAAAATGACACCTAATTCTAGGTCACGCGAAAAATGCGTGACTTTAATCCTTTAAATTTTATCAGAGATGACGTTTTTTTTACGATACCCACTTTTGCGTATAATAAATCAGTGCGTGTCATATATTGCGTGTCCTTAAAGCCCTGTTTTCTAGTAGTGTTCGGATCTGTTAATACCGGAACGCGTATTCCAGTTTTTTTGTGTGTGGGACCCATATATATATATATATATATATATATATATATATATATACACCATTGAACTACAATATTGGGCTTGGACCGGTTTTCGGACCCGAAATGACCATTAAGGACCAAAGGGATATTTAAAAAAAAAAAATACTTGGTTATATGTAAAAAAAACCAAACATGTGGTAGATTACTCAATTCCCATATATATATATATATATATATATATATATATATATATATATATATATATATATATATATATATATATATATATATATAGACACACACACATACTCTTAGGGTACCCACGCGATGTGGCGGCAACACATAATTTATTTGGCGTGTAATATCCAACGATAATTAGTTTTGTTTCGACAGGCTATGTCCGGATTAAAATAAAAATATATTTTTAATTTGGATTTTTAGAAAAATATGTTGTAATTTTGGGGTACTAATAAAATATATTGTTATTTTTAGCTTAAATATGAAAGTGCGTTGTTGTTATAGGTTAAAAATAAAAATAAGTTGTTGGTTAGGTTAAAAAAATATGAATTATTGTTTTATCTTAAAAAATTAAAAGTCCATAATTTTTCTTTTTAATGTTTAAACTTAACGACATTCTATTCAATAACGGACATATCTATTGGTTAGATAGTATAACTGATTTCTTATAGTTACGTGTCGAAGAATATTCTCTTTGTGAATCGTGTTCTTTAAACGTTTAGTTTTATATGAAAACTTGTCACATTTCAAAAATCAGAGAATGCATTGATATATATATATATATATATATATATATATATATATATATATATATATATATATATATATATATATATATATATATATATATATATATATCATTAACATTTAAATACATATAAATAGAATTCGAACATAATTTTATTTTATATATCATGTAAAGCTTCTCGATACACCACGTTTGATATGTAAACTCCATCTTGATTAAAATCTTTAGTAGGCTTCACTAAGACTTTTCTATTGTCACATGATATTCCTTTAGAGAGCACCACGTAATGTTGTCCATGCGAGAATACTGATTCCGATAGAAAAACACCCACATTTTGAATTGTTTGGCCTTGAACTTTATTGATTTTCATAGCAAAGCTAAGTTAAACTGGAAACTGCTTTCTTTTTAGTTTGAATGGAAACATGTCATCCATAGATGGAGAAAGAGGGATTCTTAGAAAAGGTACTTCTTTTTGTTAGTCCACAAATTATGGATCCAATTTACTAATCAATGATGTTAATTGCAATCAAAGTGAAATGTAGAAGGAGTAGAAGAAAGATCAAGCATGCACACATCTATTACGAATAAATGTCAAGTACACCTTGAGAAAATAAGCCCACTGCAGTGTTCAGCCAAAAAGTACAATCTGACACAACTCAGTTACTATAAATAGTACCCCCACCAGCACATGAGTGTGCAACCATACACGAGTGTGCGGCCGCACACACATGTAAGGCTGCATGCACAAGCTCAATTTACTACATTGCTAAACAAACATTGACACTCTGATCAGATCTATACAAAATTAATGGCTAGCTCAAACCACAAAACTATGGACCTTCAAACTCCTCCTTGGTTTGAGACTAGCATAGAATGGAACTTCATTCATTTGGCTCATCGGCTGGCTTTTCATACAACTTTAGATTCGATCTTCCCATAGAGCCCATCTACAATCTTCCTTTAATGATTGTAGCCATATTTGCAGTGAATTCTTTAGCAGCAGCTTCCATGACTGCTTTTTTGCAGATGATCTGGTGATGAGACGAAGTTCGAATATCCCTCTCTCTGAATCGAAGAAGATCATTTGCACTTATCAATCTCAGAACTTGTTCTTGGTCCTTGAATTTTATAGCAGCAGTTGCAGTTTCGTCATCATAGGGCCAAAATTCCATTTTATCAAGATATCCCTCATGAAAGTGTTGAGGGATAGGAATTTCCTTTTGTTGCTTAGTTGCAGGCCAGAGAATGATCTTCATAGGTTCGCCTGATTCTGGATCAAGAATTTCTTTTTCTTTTCGATATAAGGCTCTTTCAGTCTTCATTGATAGAAAATTTTCTTTTACTTGTCTGTCAAGAAACCTTTTGAAAATAGAAGCACTGGGATCTTCAGAGGGATTATGGAATGGGGCCCTCAATAGTTCAACAAGATCCACTTTGGTCCATGAATTAAAATCAGGGGTGCTCTTGTAATACTCAGGAACACCTAAGTTTCTTTTCACAACCCACATATTAGTTGTAGGATCAAAGGTCCACATTTGAATTCCCGATCTATCTCCGTACTCGTCACCAAATTTCCTTTTCTTTATATCAGTTACAGTTAGAACAAGGTCTTTTGCCTTGCGATTCTCATTTGAATTCTTCATGAATAGCAAGCCTTCGCGTTTGTTGGCTGTTATGGTTCTCTTGCCCTGTTTGATCATTATTCTTGCTCTGCTTCCTTCTGGCTCCTTTTCAAATTTGTTGACAGTAGTGGTTGTTCTCGGAGCTGGTGGATCGACTGGAAAGTCTTCAGAGACAGACTGTGTGGGGGCTGTAGGAGGATCATCGATTCCATGTGGCTGTTGAAAAAGAGCCTTGAATTTTTCACCAAATGTGTCATACAGAACGTTCTTTAGAATAAAGTAACTAGCTGTCACTGAACCAAGATTCGTCTGTAGATCTTTAATTTGTTTTGTCTTCTCCTCGTCCTTTGCTCTAAGATCTTCGATGTAAGAAGTGAGTCGATCCATCTGAATGGTCTTCTCTATAAGTTCTTGATGGAGAATCCCAATTTCTTCACGAAGATCAAAAGTGGAAGACTTGTCATCACCTGTGCACTCCTCTCTAAATGATATTCCTTTGCCACGAGAGGAGGTTGGACTGTGTTGGGATAGGTGTTTTACCAACCTTATAGAAGCCTCATCTAATGAAGGTCTGGTGGGAGAATATTCTGAAATGGATGATGAGCCACCAGTCTCAAATATAGTGCTCGCCTGCTCGGACCTTCATTAGATTGTTTTGGTGGAGAGTAAGTAGTGGTAGCAGTGATTGTGGAGAGAACTTGAGGAGCACTACCCATAGTGGGTATCTCCAGACTTGTAAAAGATTGACTTGTTTCCATGTAGGACTGAGAGGTCAGGGGTTGAGTTGAGTCAGGAATAATTGGAGCAAAAGTTGAGATTGATGACACAAAGGGAGGAATCTCTGATGTCACATATCCTTAGTTTGATGTAACCTCCAGGGGCTTTGAAGTAGAGAGCAAAATCTTGAGAATATTTCCTTCATCTCTAGTCTTGGTAGCTGAAGAAGCAACTTCATCGACTTTATTAGGACAGCTGCTGGGAATTCCAGGAAAAGGACCGAATTCTTCATCATCGAGATCAAATTCTATATTTGTCGAGATGTCATCATTCATTCCTGTAAAATCAATTTCATTTAACAACTCTATGTTATCATAACGATCATCATCATCATCCTCCTGAGTAGATAGTGTTTCATCTTCTTTTTGATGATCATGTTCCTCAGCCATAGCAGCTGAAGGAGAATCATGTACCTCCTCAATCTTTGGCTCGGAGGCTGAATGAAAAATGTCTTCAGATTCCATTAGGATGGACTGCTCTTCTGACTCTTCTTTATCAGTCTATTCAAAAATTCCGAATTCTATCAGTGGAAATTTTCCTTCAAATACAAATTTCCCGCCTCAGTTTTGTTTCATTAGTCCAAAAGCACTTAGACCAATGGATTTGAAGTCCAAGGTTTCATTTCCGCTCTGCAGCTCAGGGTGTGTTACATTGAGAATGATTTGCAAAAATCTTGGATACATCAAGAACTTGTCCCTCTTGCTCCCTTCAAGGTTTAGAATCATCTCATGCATGATAAACTTTGAGAAGTTGAACTCAAACCCTGCAGCCAAGGCTGCAATTGCTCTAGTGTTAGCCAGGGATATCTCATTTGCTCTTGATCTCCTGCCGGAAATACACCTCACAAACACGTGAGCCAAATACTTCCAACATGGAGGAAGCAACTTCTTGATGGTAGGGGGAAAGGTTCCCTCGTACCCCATATGTTCTAAGACATCCTGAGTTTGATGAATGTCAATCTCCATAGTGTACTTAGATATGTCGTCTATTTGTAGAGATTCCTGAATAATGCTCTCTGTTACTTGAACTTTCTTATCTTCAATTGTTGCTTCAACGAACTTTTCACTCTGATTATTCTTTTTCACAACAACGCTCCTCCAGAAATCCTTGATCAAATTCTGGTAAATTTTAGGACATGTGGTTAGAGCATGGACCAGTCAGGATTTCTTTAAACCATCAACAATGAATTTTAAATCATTGTGAGTTGCAGGAGGATCTTCGAGAAAAATGGCGGAGTTGTGGACCTTAGCAAATTCCATGTCTCCCATCTTCATCTGAAAATAAACACACGTAATCATTAGAGCAAAATTATTGAAAATAGTGCAACCGCACACAAAAATGCACACAGCCGCACACGTGCAAGTGTGCAGCCATACACGCGTGTGCGGGCGCACACATTCAACTGTTCAAAAATCATTATAGCCGCACACGGTTCAGCCGCTCACGCCCGTGTGTGGCCGCACACACCGTATACGGTCGTACTCTCATACGAAATGTTTGATTCTTTGATACAACAACAAACGATGATCGATTTTCATAAAAAAAATTGATTTTTGAGCCATGTTCATGAGATTTACCAGGTAAGAGCTTTGATTTCTTGAAAATCAGTGGAATATTCAAAGAGATTGAGAGAAAAGCTGTGACTGTGTGCGATTAAGAGAGACGTGAATGGAAATAGTGACGGTACATTTCTCACCGCACACACCACATATATACTAAAAAAAATTCATTCCCCCCCCCTCACTTTTTAACAATTAAAACTGGTGCCTCATACTCACCATTTTTCAAAAACAAACCATTTTGAGGATTTAAGTGACTAAATTTAATTTTCTTAAGATTTTTTTTAAAAAATAAAATAAAATAAAAATAAAAAATAAAAAATAAACTAAAAGAAAACTTATTAACTAAGATAAAAGTAAAAATAAAAATAAAATAAAATTAGAATAGACTAAAATAAAATAAAATTGGAAATACAATTAACAAGAAGGAATTAAATTTTAATTTTAATCCTAAATAAATTTATTTAACCTATTGAGATTAGGGATCAAAGTTGTTAAAGAATTGTTGTTCATTTATTAGTTCCTTCTCTTTCATGAATAAATCTGGTCGATTGTCAGTATTGTGGTCCACTTAAACACGAAAATTTTTGTGACAAATTTGGACATGCTATAAGTGACAAAGATAATGTGATCCTAAGTTACTAGATAAAATATCTTAAGGACCATTCAACTGACGACGACCAGGGATATTGTTGTCCGCCTAAATTGAGCAGTGAGATCTATAGACAATCTTTGAGTGTTCAATTTTAATTGTACTGGAACATGTTTCCCGCTTCCTGATATGCCCCAGTAATCAAAGACTTCCAGAGTACTCCTTACATCGGGTGAGCATACCATCATTAGGAGAGAAGATAGATTCAGATTATTATCACTTATAGTTTTAGAGGGATTGAGAAGTAGAAGGTTACATATGCTGTGTACCAGGTCAGATTGTTAGTCACGCAAAGGAGACAGCATATGGCTAACAGATAAGAAGAATTTCATATATATATATATATATATATATATATATATGTATATATATATATATATATAATATGCAGAGAAATAGAGTTGCATATGTTACAGTCCATGTCGTATCTCTTCCAATCACGCAGAGGAGGCAACATATGACTAACAATAAGAAAGAAAGAAAATGATTTTCTACAGACCTAATTCATCGGAATCAACCAGTCGCCGTATCAATACCGGAATTAAGGACAGAATCCGCACATTGAGAAAGAGTTAAACCACGATTCCAGATACGGGTTTAATTAATGTGACGAGTAGATTTCCATATATATCTCCCTGCTCAACCTATCCAAGCATCGTATTGTCAGACTAAACGTAACTATCTAGGTCAAGATTTATCAAGTCTCTAGATTCCTTAATTTCATCTACACCTAATCAAGTTTGTTTAATTCTTCGTGCCTACTAGCGCATCGAATACAGAGCCTAGACAATCAAGTTTTGGTACTTTACACAGACCCAGATTTCCCTTTATCACTTGATAATATCACTTCCCAAACCAACACAGATATATATATATATATATATATATATATATATATATATATAATTTTTTGTTTTTCTAATGTTTTTGGATTTTCTAAATTTTCTCCACCTAAATTTGTGCATAAAATAAAAATAATAAAACAATGCACAAATTTATCCTACACTAAACAAAAAAATTAATCCTCAAAACGAATCATTTTTAGAAAATTAACCAGCACATCGAATCGAGCTTTGTTAAACGGCTTGGTGAACAGATCCGCTACATTATTATCAGAGTGGACATGTTCTAGCCGAATGAGCGAGCGCTCATAACATTCTATGATAAAATGAATTTTGATGTCAATGTGCTTGGTTTTTGAGTGTTGGAACGGGTTTTTGGCAATTTGGATCGTAACCTCATTATCACAGAAAAGAGGGGTTTCTTGAAAATTCAAAACTGTAGTCCAACAGCTGATGTTGGATCCAGATGACTTGAGAACAACATGCAGACGCAGCGACATACTCCGCTTTTGCTGTTGAGGTTGAAACGGTATGCTGCTTCTTACACTGCCATGAAACCGATCTATCACCCAAAAACTGGCACCCTCCTGAGGTCGATTTTGTATCAAGCTCACACCCACCATAGTTGCTATCTGCAAAAGCATAAAGGTCAAATTATAGATTTTTCGGATACCAAAGACCCAGTTTTGGGCACCCTTTGAGATACTGAAAAATCCGTTTAACAGCAAGTAAATGAGAGAGTTTAGGATTAGCCTAGTAGTGAGCACATTGATAGACCGCAAACATTACGTCTGGGTGACTGGCAGTCAGATACATGAGAGATCTGATCATTGATCGATAGTGCGTCTGATCTATTGATTCACCCTCAAGATCAGGGGTTAGTAGAGGTCTTTCCGCCATGGGTGTAAGAGCAGGTTTCGTGTCTCGGAACCCGAACTTCTCCAGTACATCATCCACATACTTTGCTTGGTGAATAAGGATTCCGATTGAAGATTGTTGGACCTGAAGCCCCAGAAACATGGTCATTTCCCCAAGCGAACTCATCTCGAACCGCTTCTTTATCACTGCTTCGAACTCTTTGCAAAGTTGATGGCTTGTCGACCCCAAAATAATGTCATCCACATAGATTTGAACAAGAATTTGATCTGGACCGACATGTTTGAGGAATAAGGTTTGATCAATGGTGCCTCGGGAATAGTCGTGGTTGAGCAAATGCTGAGTCAGGGTAGCATACCAAGCTCTAGGAGCCTGATGCAATCCATACAGAGCTTTGTCTAACTTGTAAACATGGTTGGGAAGTTTTATTTAACGAAACCAGGTGGTTGGTCAACGTAAATTTCCTCCTTGACCTTTCCATACAAGAAACTTGTCTTGACATCCATTTGGTATACAGTGAAGTTCATATAGGATGCATATGCAAGGAAGATACGAATGGCTTCCAAGCGAGTGATCGGAGCATAAACTTCCGTATAATCAAGACCCTTAACTTTCCGAAACCCTCTAACCACTAATCTCTCCTTGTTGCGCACAATTACACTGGAGTCGTCTTGTTTATTCCGAAAGACCCATCGAGTGTCAAGAGATTTCTTTCCTTTTGGCAGCTCCACCAACTTCCAAACCCCGAGCTTCTCGAATTGATCCAGTTCATCATGCATGGCTTCAACCCAGCTGGGCTCATTTAGAGACATTTCGACATTTTTGGGCTCAATCTGAGAAATAAAGCAAGAATAGAGACACGTATTAACATCTCCACTCTGACTTCTTGTTTGAACACCGGCGCCTAGCTGGCCTATGATGTTCTCTGTAGGATGGCCGCGCTGAATGCGTGCAGGGATCTCGTAGCTGATATCATTGACAGAGACTGGAAGAGTATGAATGTTAACCACTCCATCATTTGCTGTGTGATCCACAGTAGATGAACAAGGTTCGTTCAGAGGATCCGATACAAACTTTTCGGCAATATTTTCTGGAAAGAAGTTCCATCAGATTTGAAGTTACAACGGAAGTCTCGTGGTTCATGAACTCTCTTTCCACCGGAGTTAGAGGAGTAGCAACAACATCAGGAGAAGGTTGTTGAGGGGAAGATTCAGAAGACTCAGTGTGAATAGAGGGCACTATTGGAGGATCAGAAGAAATCAGTGGTGGTCGGTAAACAACTTCGTCTTCTTCATGTTCAATAATGATCTTCGAATTTGACGTAGATCCTTCTTGATTATCTGAGAACAATTTAATGATTTGAAAAGAGATGTGTAGTCAAATAGCCAATCGGGACCCACTCTTTCATCTGTCTCATTTTCTTTGAGCCAACGAACATCGAAAGATTCTACAATCTGTTTTGTCTTCTTGTTGTAAACCCTATAAGCAGTTCGAGCAGCATATCCAACAAAGTAACAGTCTTCGACTTTTGCATT